ATAGATAGATAGATAGATATTGATATTGATATACACGCATACGCTTTTATTTCATATATGTATACGTGTCCGTATGTCTGTTTGTCTGTCTGCCTGGCTGTCCTGCTGTCTGTCTGTCGGTTTGCCGGTCGTCTGTAAGCATGTACGCAATATGAATGTGTAGTTGTATGTATTTCAAGATCTGTGTCTGGGATGTCCCTGGGAACGATAGACCATGTTCCCTACATTGGCCCTATATCATCCCTGTAAAGCCCATAAAATATCTGGGACATGTTGAACTATGTTGGCTATGCAGGCGTGGCTATTGATGCCTTGGCGCAGAAAGGGGCAGATGACACGAGCTGCACGGCGAATGCTATCGCCCTCGTTGCCGACCTGGCAGAGGGTTTGTCGAATGCAGCCCAAACTTCAAACTCTGCTGCGGTGCTTGCCGGACGTGTCGCTTAGTCCTGAAGTTGCTTCTGGGATATTCCTGGGAATGTTTTCTTAACTATTATGGACGCATAATGCCAATATAATCCTCATAAAACCCAAAGCTTTATAGGGCCCAGGATTGCCTGGTCACAATGCCTGCCTACTTCACATCTATCTCGCAGATGGTTGCAGATGCCTCGGGAGATGTGCCTGACTGTGACCTGGCCCGAAGCTCGAGGACCATTATCCCTGCTTGGGCAGACTTCCAGAACAGGGGGTCCTGGAGCTGAAGTCGACGTCCTTCCCGCAGCCTCCCCCCCAATGCTCACGTCCCGGCACAAAGATTGCAGTCTTGCCAGCAGACAGGTGGAACAGCTGGAAGGCCCGAGTCCTTCAGGATATTAACGACCTAGGTCCGGATGACGCTCGGAGGAATGAGCTTGGCATTTGCGCGATGTCCAGCATGCAGGTTTTCAACGACGACCCATCCCATGCAATCAACATTTGGTCGGCCGTGGTGGACGGGGCCGCAAAGACGAAAATGGAAGAAGCCAAGAGTACTCCAAAAAGGTAGGGCTGGACAAGGAGTGTGAGTACGCAGCGAAGGTATGTGTTCGCGATGCACTGGGCCGGGTTGGAAGCTGCGTGAAGCTGGCCACAGACCTGGCCCCCATCCTCGCCCCAAGTCATGGGGACCCGCCGGTCTGCTCAGGGCCTCTCAAGGCCATGTTTCACCGAAGTTGTAATGTGCAGAGGGGCTCGTAAGGAGACCTACAAGATTCGAGTTGCCTGGTGATCCTGCTGGAGTCTTTTTCAAAACCATCACAAGGCATCGGTAGAGATTGCATTGGGGGGGGGGGAGACAAATGGCATGTTGTTATTTCTGCTTCATCGCTACAATCGATCATTTCTTTCAGAAAATCTTGGGGAGTAGACGAAATTACTCCCGGGAGCTGGTTCCCCTGTGCCCTGACACTTCAAAGCTCTGGATCAGAACCCCGACCCTGATATGTCCCCGTAGCCCAGCTTCCATGGCAATTTCCCGTTTCAGGTTTCATTTGGTCCGCTTAGAGTTTGAAGGGTTTTTGGCTTAGATTACAGGGATAGGAGATTGAGTGTTTAGAGACTATAGGGTTTAGGCTTTTAAGGTTGTGGGATAGGGAGAACAGGGTCTGGAGGTCTACAGGGTTCCAGCTTTTCATGTTTTAGGGCTTGGAACTGGGGGCTGAGGATTTCTGCAAGAACGGTGCTGATGTGGGAGTCTGAACAGTTGCCGATATCATGTTGGCAGGCACTCTATATCATAGTTGTACAGTATAAACGGCTGGCGGAAAACTCCTGACCTGAACCCTACCGTATAGAGCTTCGGGTTTGAGGATTTAGGTTTTGGGGCTTCCATAAATTCAGGGATGCCGCGGTAGATCCCAAACTAGTCTAGCCTTTATTGGCTCTGCTGTTCGCGCTGGGTAAGCTTAGAAACCCTTCAAGGCAAGGACCCGACCATTAAGTTTAGAGTGAACAAACAGGGACCTAAAAGCCTAAACTGGCTCTTCCACGGTCTGGAGTGGAAGCAAAGTCTGGAATTCTTTGAAGATGAAGGAACACAACTTTCAATTCTTCACCGGAACAGACAATCACCAACAACAGGCAGCTCCCCATAGTTACTTGCAATCACATGCTTGACTGAGTCATAAAGTGGGAATATCTCCTCCAAGCTTACAGCCATCTTATCAATGCCATATAAACACAAATCATTTGTTTCAAGTCTTGCTTCGAACACTTCCTCGGCAAGTATAGTTCTTTCGCATGTGCAGCAACGACAAGCAAGGCCATATTACCTTTATGCCAGTGATATTTTCTGGCAGTGGCGAGATGTTAAGAGTGCAAAACCGATCATGTTTTTACAATTTCTTACACCGAAAATGTTGGCGTTGTTTTCCCTGCTTGCCCTGATGTAGTCGCTAGCCTCGGCAAAACCCAGAATATGTTGTATGAAATTCCTTTTCTTTCTGAGTGACAATTTCTCCGCTAATTTGTAATGGATGAGTGTTTTGTATTTCGGTGTTTTCTTAGGGAAATTGTTCTCAAGGCAAACTTGAAATTTTAACAACTCCAACCGCAAAAAAGCCCTACCAATACTTTCAAATTTTCATAAAGCCGTTTTATCCCATTGTATGAACACGTTGGCTAAAATTGCAACCGCAATTCGGGGTATGCTCGGTTCCGTTTGGCATTCATGTTTTTAGTTTAACTCCTATAATTCGTTACTTGGTTTTCTGGCAACCTTTGGGGTGGAACCAGTCGCCGAATGATTTTTAAACTACGATACGTTAACAACTCTCCGGTACAATAAACCTTTCAATGCTCAGATGTGCGCTAGTTCTGTGGTGTTCTAGGTTCTTCCCCAAGAAACATCACAACGCTTATTCTTTTAAATATGCCTTGACTTGTTCTGATTGTTAGATACTGGGCGGAATACGTACGCAAATAAATGACATCTGCGTATTGACTAATGGAAGGAAGATAATACTGTCGTACATGTTAGACGATGCAGAAGGTTGACAAATTTGAAGACAATTACAGGACGTGTAGTGTATGGAGAGAGAAAGAAACAGAAAGGGTCAAATACATAAGCAACAAATAGCAGAGCAAGAAAGAGAACACGGACAACCGCACCCCGAAAAGTGAAAGAATGGCGCCAGAATCACTTCAACAGAATCGAAGACGAAGTTGCCACATGTCCTGTTGAAGAAAGACAAACAAGCTCAACACGCAGAGTGCCAAACACATCAGTATTTCACAGAAGCTAATCGATCCGGATTTTGAGAAGGATGTTCCCAAACCAGACTACATCAAAGAAATAAGCGGGAAAGAACATTACTGTTGTAACACTTGCCGTTCTTGCTTCTTGCCTCAGATGTGGTCAAGACGCTTTAACAAACCGCCACACTTGAAACTGCTGACTGCATAGTTTTGTTTTGTAATTAGTTAGAAAACATAAGCAGTTGTATAATATAATCACATTGGAGCTACAACGCTTAACCCCGAACCCTGAACCAAATTATGTAAGAACCCCCTTTGCTTGCCTTGCTGGGCTATTTCACTTGGATCGATACGGGTATTGGAACTAAGAGAATTTCCCAGGAATGATATCAGACATGTTTGTTGCTGGGGTGGGTGGTGCCCATAGCCCAAAATAGGCGAAATGGGTCCTAACTCAAACTCCGTGTGCGCCCGACAGGTTTGGGACAATCTTCACATCCTGGGCCCTGTTTTGCCTCAAGTGCAAGCCGCTGTGCACCCAGATGGGCCTGGGCTCACCCTGTGTTCCTTTTCCAGCAGGAACTTCTCAAGGTCTTGTGGACCTTAGACCCCAAAGTACAGGGTCAGGACAGCATGTTAGACGTCTTGGAGTTCACCGGCAGGTTTCTACTTCTAGTTTGTTCACTGGGGTGTGTGTGTGTGTTTTTTGTTGCTGTTGTGCTGTTTCTGGGTTCCAGTTATACTACAATATACTCTAACTAGCCCAACATTGTGTCCCAGCCGGTTACTCAACAGGCTAAACTTGTGTCTAGGGGTTGGAGCCTTTACAGACCCGAGACCCAATTAAGCCAATATATGAGCCCTGAACCCGATACCTTAAACATCAAGGTCGGAAACCCAAGCAAAACGCTCGCAGCCGGCCGAATGAGGCCATGGACCCCCTCAACGTGTCGGAAGGGATGTCTCCACCTCCAGGTACCTTGTCGGTGATTCAAGGTTTGCAGACGTAGGGTTCAGATTTTCGTTCAGGGTTTAGGGTTTAGGGTTTTAGGGTTCAGGGTGTAAGGTTGAGGGTTTAGGGCTCTAATCCGTCATATGCTGCCATAATCCTGAAACCCTGAATGCCACTGTCCTCGGTCTCTGGGCGGGAGTTGAAAGTTGCTGTTGTTCATGTTCGGGCCGCAAAGATCTAAAGGGGCATGGGTTTGGGGGCTTTTGGGGTTTAGAGGTTTATCTAATCAAGTCCGTGCTTAAAAAGGGGTTTATCTAAGGCTTTCGGGTTTAGGGTTTACGAGCTTTGGGGTTTCGGGGTTGGCTTTGTGCAGGATATCGGGCGAGCAAGGGTGCCTTGCAGGGGCCCCTGTTCTCGTAAGCTACGTACCCTCAAGAAAAAAGCCCTGAGCGCGAGCGCCCGTGGTATGAAAGCAGGCATGCCAGAACCTGAAGAACTCAACCTGTGAGGTTTACATCTGGGCCTTGGCTATAGTACTGCAGGGGCCTACATAATTACCAATACTATTTTGGGGATTCCTTGTTATAGTTGCAGTATAATGGGCCCCCAAACCCTATTCTAATTATTAAGGCCCCTGTAGTAGGTAAAGTCAGCGCCGGCATCCTCGCAGCCGAAGATCACCATTGGTTCGGCCCAGCATACTCACATTGCTCGACACTGGATTTCGAAACTTCTGTTACCGTGTAGTGAAGTAGAAGTAGAAGTAGAAGCAGAAGAGAATGTACCTAATGCTAATCCACTCTCGAATAGCATCAAATGACTATTTAAGTATATAGACAACATGATGAACTACATTTACAAAATATGCCCCCTGCCCCATATTGGATGCGACCAGGCGTGCTGTGGCGAGTTGTCAACGGACTGCGCTTCTGCTTTCGGGTCAACTGCACAGTTGAGGATTTAGCAGCTTAATGTTTCAGGTTTCAGGGCTTAGGATTTTAGGGTTTACAGTCTGTTTAGGGGGTGTTGAGTTTAGGATTTCAGGGCTTATGGTTGAATTAGTCCAGCTGGTGCTGTGCCTCCGATTACGACCAGTGGCGACATAAGTTTAGGCTGAGAAATGCGGCGCTCATCTGTTAAGACGCGCCGAATTCGTTAGCAATCGCAGTTCTATGTCATGTCGTATTAGTGGTTTCCGGGGTTCGTGCAATTGCAGCATACACGAGGTCATGTCACACAGTCAGCTCGCATGCCATGCTCTCATCCAGCTTTGTCGTGGTGCGGGTTACGGTCACGCACGTAGGACTTGGTGCCCTTACAGAATGAACGGAATGTCAACCATAGCCCGGAATAAGCCATTGCCCTGATGTCGACCAATTGGGCTGACCATTCGCAACCCGTGTCTTGTCTCGTGGTGACTCTGGGCCGAAGGAAGCCGAAGGAAACTGCTCGCTGCTAGTTTGGAGGATGCCAGTTTGTGAGCTTCATGGTCGGAACATGTTAACACGTCACACTTCAAGAACACAAGACAAACCTAGAGTTTGTGTGCAGGAGCCGCGATCGAATGGAACTGGGCTGTAAGTGGAGCACTCAGTCTCTTCGTGTGTATTAAAAGACTCAACTTAGACTTGGAAGGTTGGACCTATTGACGAAACCAGTGTGCTGAGCTGCCAGTCCGTCGAACAAATTTGGTTGTTTGTTTGCTTGTGTTGGTATTGGATGGGGGTCAGCGTGTGTGTTTTCCCTTCGCGGCCGTTGCTTGGCACTGCCCGAATGTCATTGCCCAAGCATCGGAATCCCGACGAGGCAAATCATCAAGCCCATAAGTCTAAAGAAATGCTAGAACAGGCTCTCAATCACAATTCGCGAACGTGATAGAAAGCCGAAAAGCGAATCAGCAACCTGAATGGCATGCATGCATGCTGGCCCCGACGGTCATTGTTTTAGCGAGGCTTCTTTCGTTGCCGAGGAACCGTTTGTAGCAATGTTAATTGCTTTTTAAGTCTTTAGGTCTGTCAGCAACCGAAGGTATTGTACCGCAGGGTGTCTCTGCGAAGAGAGCTGAAACCTCCAGGCAGAAG